TGTTTCATGGATGTGAAATCGCTGAGATGGGGAATAGTCGAATTTTCCTTCTTAAAAAATATTTTCCATCAGTTGAGCGTCCGTATTGAATTACAAAATGCATAATTTAGGCAGGAAAGTGTGAATTTTCACTTTATCCCTAATTACCATAGGAGGAAACCAGTGTGAAAGCCGCGCACGCACGGGCTGAAAAAAGCGGAATTAAATCATTTTGTGCATGACTCTCTGCTCCCTCGTCATCAGTTTCATTGTTCTTGGAAACGACATCTTGTGCGCTGTGCAGCTCTTTCGTCGACTGACTGTGACTCCGGAACGTCTCCCCGGGCAACACATCCGCGTGGAAACGACATTGAGACAATGTTTCATGGCAACATTTATCATGTTGAAACAGCATTGAGGTACCACATTGATTCATTGTGAAGATGTCATTTTTGTCAACACTCCTTGTCAATTTCGAAACAATATCGATGGCATCATGCCTCCATGGATCGAAGTAGAGATAAATTCATCAAATTGAATCGCATGCCCTATGGATGATTAACTATATACACTAAAAAGGACATAACCTCTTCAGTTTCTAAAGATCAGTACCCACAGAGTACTGAGAAGCTCGAGAGGATGGGTCCTATTCAGTTCTGCAAACAGAACCGAAATACTGCGTGCTTGAATAGTTTGCAAAACTTAAGTGAAATAAAAACCTGAGCTTCTCTTGTCTGAAGATGTGAATAAATGTATTTAATGGCCTGAACGTCTATGCGCCCACACTGAACCTGGACGTTTAATTTGTTTCAGAATCGGATGCTGCAATCAGAACATGACAATTCCCCATTTCTCTAATATATATGTTCATTAATTACGTAATAAAATGAGGAACGCGGAAAGAAAACACTTTAATGAAAGGTGACAGATCCGTAATTGCATTAAGAGCCTACAGGGGAACATGGTTGCCATCTAGCGAGGGCTCTTGGCACTTTATGATCGCGCCTAGACTGCACTGCCCTGGTAACATAACGTCCATAAATGGATGCAAGACGACTCGGCGATGACCGTAGGATAATTGGAAATGGTTAATATAATTGCTTCTGAATTAAAAAATAATAATTTAATATTCAAATACATGATAATAGACGGCATGCAACTCAATAGAAGTCTCTTTTTTTTTTAAACATTGAAACCGAGATGCGGAAGATTGATAGTATTCCGAAAACCCATCGGATAGGTCCAACTCTTCATCGCTTTAAAGAGGGGTTAACAATGCTGCCACATCTAAAAAATGTCATTCGAATATTCCCCCATCGTCGATACAATGTTACCTGGGTCTCTTCCATTTGAACTTTTCCCCCACTTTTCTAGAATGACATTCGGTGCACTGCCATTATCGCCGAATTTAGGCCCTATAGCGGACTGTGTACTCTATTTGAACTTCTAACCGAATAAGTAACGCCGCCAGGTCATAAGCTTTCGATCGGCACCTCGTCCATGAAAAAAATCGGTTTAGGAGGAGTTTCCCAGAAAGACACTCCCACCCGCGCACATACTGACGGATTAGCCTCTCATGTGGATAGTAAACAGTCGCATTTCTCACATGGACCTGGAATTATCTTCAGACCAGCGAGAAATAAACTAGAAAGGGGGAAAGGGGACGTGCGGTTCACGTCTGATCTGCATGGACATTTAACGAAGCAAAAATTGGTCATCACCATTTCCTAGTCATATATCGATAGAATTCAGGTTCTAAAAGTTTCATCCAATAGTCACTGGGTTAATCACTTCATGATTCCGCCCCCCCCCCCCAGCCAAACGGCATCCACGAGGACCAAGGGAAATGCTCATAGCGAACGACCCTATTCCCTGGTTATGACTCGCTAATTCTCTGCTGCTTTTGCACCTAGTCCTATGTGATGTGTGCCCGGCCGAAGACATTCTCACCTTAAGGCGAGGGGAGGACGAATTCCTCCTGAAGGATGTCCCGCGCGTGGCACCCGGTGCACTTCGTTAAGTTGTTGCCGTGTGGACGGCTCGTCCGTCGATGGAATCTCTCGAGCACTTCAAACGCAAGATACATAAAATGTACCAGATAAGTTGGAGTGGTTCACGCACCTAGAGGAAGTGGAGATAGCGAAGATACCTGGAGCGACCTATCTCTGGTCGGGATGCGTCCGCCCCACCCCAACGAGGAGGAGTTAGCTCCCCATTAGCTCCCCCAACGTTCTGCTTAGCCCATCCCATTGACGAAAACCTGGCCACGCCAATGATTCGGCATGATTCACGAGGTGATACGATGGGCGATCGAATCAGGGCGGATGAATGAGGAAAAGGCACGGGAGACGGTCGCCATGACGGTGCACCACAAACCCCTCATGATTAATCGTTCTTAAGCTCTCGAGCTCAAGGTGCCGGTTCGTCTGGGATTTTGGGTAACGAATAAGGTCGACGGGGCTTTTTCTACTGCTTCTATCAGTTTCCTTCCGCGAGTCTCTCAGTCGCCACGAGCGGTCATTCAAGGCTTTCCATTGGATGAGGAGAAATGGGGTTTAAGAGAAGCCAGAAAGAAAATAGATGACAATAGCTTCCGATCCGAGGTCTAAATTAAGCTCAATTTTCATGAAACCATGAGCTCAACTGTCATCATTTCGAGACCGCGTTGAAAATCTCCCGATGGATCGTGCCATCGCCGCGTCGGGTCCTCTCCAAGCAGAGAGATGAGGAACTGCCTCAGCAGACTCAGATGAATTTCCCTCATCGGAACTCTTTTGTCGTTCGCCCAATATTCACAGTCGCGGGCGATGGAGCCATCCCAGGGAATGGCGAGTGAGACTTCCGAATTTTTTTTTTTTTACCGTTATTAACCGTTCATAACGGAACCGTCTTCGCGAAACTTTCACCATGCATACACATTCACCTTGCATACATTCACCGCTGCTTCAGGATGACTAAAGTACGAAAAGTGCTGCAAAGACCTTCCTAACCCCCTACGGAGTCGACCTCGAAGCAATCTTCGAGGTCGGCCGGACGTCCGCCCTCTCAGCCGCTGAAAAGATCTGCCTTGAGATCGACTCCTCGGGAGTCAGAGGACTCGCCCCGGCATTTCCCATCATTAATCGAAACATAAAAAAAAAAATTGCCTCAGACGTCCGACTGGGGAATTCGTTCCTGCCGTGGCCCCGAGGGAGCGGGACTTCGCCCCGGCATGAAAAGCACTAATAATAATAATAATTAAAAAGAAATTGAGAAAACAAATTAGAACCGGGGAACGTTCTGTTTGCGTGCATTTTGTCTCGAGGAAGAATGCGACAGTTTCAGTTTTTCGAAATGAGTTTTATTCCTTTCGCAGACTGAGAAGTTTTTCTCGGTTTCAATCAATGGGAAAAAAAAAACCTCGTTGCCATGGCAACCGCTGAGAGGCGGGACGGACAAGAAGAGGCTGAGGTATTAAAGAACCAAATTCCTGATTGGATTCCAGAAATGTGAAAAATAAAAAAGAGTTCGCACTCACGTTTGAAATCCTTTGGGGATTCTGTGGAATATTACGGCTGGAGATGAATTCGAGGGGATGAAGCAGAAATACAACTTTTTTTTTTCTACGTTTCGTGCCCATTCACTTCCGCCGAAATGTTCACTTGCCTCCATTTCGGTCCTGGCTCCCCCTGCCTTCCCATCCAAGTGAATTTCAGTTGATTGGCTGGAGAAGTCCCGAGTCCGCCGGTTCGGAGACTCGCCAGTCGGCAACTGACGCTGGTGGCTTGGGACCTCCTCACCCCGCAAGCGTCATCCTCGTCCTTCGCAGTGCTGCATGATGTTACTTTTAAGTTCCTTACCGACGGAAGACGTGATGAGCCTCCTCCTCGGTCGGATGGGTGGCATGCCCCAACCTGTTGGTTGCAGCAGCGGGATGACGTCACGCTGACGTCACAAGATGGCTACCGCGAAAGCTTTAGCGCGCCACGTGGGGAACACCACCTCACCATGCGGTGAACCTGTTCCTGAGCGGTCGAACAGCTGAGCCGCCTCAAGACAAAATCTCTTTTCGCTGGCTTCTCACCGTGTCGACCATGCACAAAGCATGAGGATTAATTTATATGGGACGTCGAGCTTGGAGTTTTGCTTTTCCTGGAATGTATACAGGAAGAAGCGTACTTGAAATTCAATCAATGCCGAATAAAGCGTGATAGGTTACGGTGTACAACTTTACACCTTCCCCTTTCTCGTTTCTTCTCTGAGGTTAGTTATTTAGAGTTGGTTTGGGTTAAGAGACAATCCAAAAGAGCTGATGAAATGTTAGAGTATCGAGACCCAAAGTGATTATGCTATTCAGCTGGAGCATAAGCAATGACGGTTACGGTTCCAACAAAATTGGGCATTTTCTAGGGTGTTAAGTTGTGCACCGGCCCCGCGTGATGTCTGCAAGTAATCACGACTGAACTCCACCGATTCTAGGCTTGAGAAAGTTGACTCGTGTGTTGAGTTCTAAATTACATGAGAAGAGAAGAGCCAGATGGTAGGCCTAACGTTGGGCCCAATGTGAAACGTCGTTGCGTCAGGCGTTGTCTGGAGCCTGAATGTCCGGCTGGCCCTTTCAGACCCTTGACCTGGATTAACAGAATGATTGCCCCATTCTTCTACTTTGGGAACAAAAGTATCATCCTCAGCAAAGTGGCTAAGTCCTATTTCTTTCACAAATGCCGCCAGAAGAACGATCGAGAAGGATCGTCCAGGTGGGCGAGTGATGTCCATCTCGCCAAAACCATGGAACTATGTTTTTGAGGGTGTCTGGGATGGTGCAATGCCGCAATGGAGCATGCAAAATGTGATTGATTGATGTGGATGAAAGTGATTAGCAAGTATTGATCCCCATCATCAGGGACCATGTTTGCCCCAGGTAATTGTAATTGTTTGGTAATTATTCATCTAAATGACTGAGTTGTCAGAAGGGACTTGGGCTGGCCTGGCTATGTTTATGAAACTGTAAACCTCGCTCCAAGAACTTAATTCATAGAGTGATGGGTGAAGTCTGTCAAATGCCACAGCCTCTTATCGTGCTCAGTGGTCGGTAGCAGCGGGAGTCGGTATTTGTTGTTTTGAGGTGCAGGGGAAAGCTTTGAAGCGGAAGATCCTAAATATGGGATCTGGGACTTGACGTGCAATTGCGCCCCCTCGCAAAAAGGTGTTGGCAATTCCCTTATTACTTAATGCCATTCTTTGACTTTGTGGAATAAGTTCTCCATCAGTACCTTCAGGGATGCACCCAACCATAGGCCATGGATGATTTAAAGTAGCACAATTCCTCAAATTTGATGATCATTGCTATGACTTTAATTTCATTTTTATTGCCTGAACATTTGCATCTGGTAATATTGTCCTAACATTTGCTCACCTTTTCATTTCTTCCACTGCTTTCATGTTTGTGAATGAAAGTAAGGGAAGTGAGGTTAATATGCTTTCTCATCATTGCAATGTTTCTTAAATGCATGATTGGGCACAGGAGATGTTGCACAGAGCTGGATCAGTTAGCAGTTTAGCTCAAGAGCATCTGCCAGCCAGCTGAGTTCAACAAATTTAGCCACAGGAAGTCTTTCCATGGACATTGCCCTTGGCACTTGATATCTGGGTACTTGAGGGAATTGGGAGTTTGCAGAGATCTTGCAAGAAGGAAGTTATTGTATGCTCTTCCATGCATTGGCAAAAGGGTTAACTGCACATTCATCCCATGCACTGTGTTTTCAAGCTGTCACCTCTGCAGTGTACATTGGAATTTTGCATTCGCTGATGCTTTCTCTTAGTTAACAAGGAATACACCATTCCTTGATGTGCTGGTAGGTGACAGTTGTAGGTAAGTGTATCAATGCAGCTATTATTCAGATTCCATCCTTTCATGAATCTTGCTCAAATGCTGGTTCTTTTAGTGTGCTTGCATGAAAATGAGCCAACCTGAGTTGGTCACAAAGGACTAAGATTCGTAAATTTCCTGTGTGGTTTGTGTATGTTGTCCAGAGTGAATTTTGAAGCATTCAATCCATCTCATGGAGCCATGGGATGCTGGAGATTCAAGATGACCTACTCCCCCATTCCCTCCATTCTTTCACCGTGTTGATACCACCAGGCCCAACTTCCATCTTTTCCTTGCTGGTTCGAGAGTCCAGTTGCCCTAAAGGCTGAAGTTTCCCTGTCATGGTCTTGACCTGATATCTTTTTCCTGGCTGAAGATGTGTTTAGGGCATGGAATTCATGCATGATTTGTAATTGTAATCCTCAGCAGCTACTAAATATTTAGGGCATCAAACTGAATATTGTAAAACCTAACTTTCTTCATGTAACCTACATCTTTAAAAGAATTCCTCATTAACCTTTGTATTAGTCAATTTAATTCATTCATATTTGATGAAACCTTATCTCCTTTCAGTAATGAGTGGTCCTGATTTAGAATGACCAAAATATTTTCCTAGAAGGTTTCCTTCTATGAAATCTGGTCTCATCATTGGTCCTGGCATGCCTAATTCTATTCCACTTCCAAGAGCCTGGACATTCTGGACATTCTGAACCACCAAGTGAATGCTCCACATGGTGTATGCCATACCAGCTATCACTCTTAGCCCAAAGTGAATCAGCATGAACACTTATGGCCCTACCTATTGGCTTAGTCACATACTTCTGGCACCAAGATAGGACTAAGTTGCACAAAGTTGAAAGAAGCTCAGTCTGAAATCCTTCAGTGAAGTGGCTGATAGTAGCTTTGGTGACTATAGACATTTTTCTGACACCATGGTATTGCTTGTATCAGAGCTCATGTAATCAGTCTTTGTGTGCATGTGAACCTTATTAGCATGAGCTCATAGCTCATCCTGGAGGTCCTGGAGGGCCCACACCAGGCCCATAAAGCATATGACATTTTCTGTGAGCATTTGGAGTATTCTTGTGGTGTATAAGAGCCACATCAATCAGCTCATTGACCAGTAAACCTGCATTACACTGTAAATGATTCAACTGTAAAGCTCATTTAGAAGCCAAAGTACAGGTTCTCTTTTCCCCTTTGGAAGCAATATCATTGCACGTCATTTTATGACACGGCGACTACTTCCTCCACAGCTGTCCCTGGAGAGCCCCAGGATAAAAATCAAGAACCTGCTTTGTTCACGGCATACAAAACGAGGTTGGAACTGCTGAGACGGACATACGAAGATTTGAGACAGCCAGCGTACACTTGACTCTTCCCGCTCGTGACGTGACCAAAAGGAGACACTTTGCCCCAGATGGAGTGCATCCTTCTGAGTAAGGACTATTTTTCTACTGCTGCTATATTTCTTTGCAAATTGACAGTCATTTCCTAATCCTTCTGGTCCATCCTTTTCAGCAGATGAGCAGTTGCCACTGTTTGGTTAAGAATGATCCCCTTTTTTTCCTTCTGAACCTGATCTTGCACTGATAGACAGTTAACAGAATTTTTTATTCTTCTAGTAGAGTCCAACCGAATCAGACTGCCCCTTTTTCTTTTTGTTCTCATTGAACCTTTTGTGGAATTGACTGAAAAGGCTGCCTTGCCTTGCCTGTTGCCCTGGGATTTTCTATTAAGTTGTACTGGCAGTATTGCAGCCAACACTTCAATTCTTCAGTATGTTGCTCATCTCCTTTTGGTAGTTGTTTGTGCAAATGGCACACCCATTGATTTGGTTCACATTGATTTTCTTTTAGGCCATTGCATTGATAACCTTGAGTATCCTGCAACAAGAAGTGCATGCAACCATTCTCAGGAGTATGGACAGGGTGTCACATGAAAGGGAGTTTCATGTGAGCTGCATTCCTTGGTAATCCTGCCCTTGGATTTGCATTTAACAGTTTATAGCAGATGCACTGTACTTGCTGTTGAAGTGTTGGTTCGTTTCTGCTAAAATTTGTATTCCTCATCCAAATTTTCTTTTGGAGAGACTGCATTCCTGTGTTTTTTTTTTTTTACTATCTTGCAACATGCTGCTAGGTCTCTGACATTTCTCTGTCACTTATGTCTACTTAACCTCGATATACCTGGTGTTCTATGTGGAAGATGGATGTTCTCTATGGAGGTGCATCTCTACATGCCATCCTATGTATAAAATGCTAGGCATATCTGGGTTATTCCCATCCTTTACCCAGTGTGCCTCACTTTCCTTCATCTATTAGGACCCATGCACTTCCTTTCCCATTAAAATATGTATAAGGTGCTCATAGGAGGAAAGTCTTGGTTTATTGGGGGGGGGGGGGGGGACTGAAATATTCAGTTTCTCTCATTCTCCTTTGTGTCATGTGTCATTGTCATTTGCTTGCCTGAAAAGGGCAACCATATCTATACAAGCTTAGAATGGTCGTGCTATAATTTCTCATGATGTGGGAGATCACAGGGTGATTGTGGAAAGCTAGATATTCTCTCAACCTTAGCCAGCAATGGAGGAATCTGCTACTGATCCCTCCTCAGACACCAATTCCTAACTTCAGGATTGAAGTCCTATGGCTAGTTACAGGCTCAGCCATAGTATCAGATACAAATTTCAGTCATAAATGAAGTCCAAAAGTGTTACTCAATTTATTATTGGCTAATTTTTTCCAACTATTCTACACATTTGCATGAACAAAGTTTAATATTGTGTTTTCTGGTGTCCATTAAGGGCGCCTTGAAGTTGAAGCATCCAGCTGGGAACAAGTGGTGAAAGAATGGCATGATCTCATGGATTAACATTGGCTTCCTTGTGGCTTCTGGGTATATTCAGATATCTTCCAGGAACTCCAGTCCGGTGAATACTAGACGGGACTTAATTTATCATACCCTTAGACTTCATCATGTGATGGGGTGTCAATGATAGGATGACCACATTCCATTTGCGTGTCAAAGGTTCTAAAAAATGTGGTTACACTGATTAGGTGAAATCCTCAGCATTCAGGCTAAATATTGGCGAGCCAGATGAGTAACTTGCACATAATCATGCAGAAAGTGCTGAAGCTTGGGTTAAGAGCTTATAAAGATGCAAAAGACTCTAGAGCCCAGTCAAGATCAAGTGACTTGGTAGAATGGTGAAATGTCAGGCTTTGCCTGAGTGGTTGACGTCTGACCAAGTGAATCACATCCTGTTTCCCCCAGTCTATCATAGGATGATGATTTTGGTTTCTGTAATGCTAGTAGCTCCTTTGCTGGAATGTTCACACGATGTAATGCTTCTCAGAATGGTTGCAGTGACTCATCAGATGGTAATAGTTCTCACCCCCATTTTGCAAAGGAACATGAGAGGCTGGACTGTGCAGTTTCTCATTCGCTACTACATGAAAATTCATTGGCCTGGAAATGTACCAATTCTTTCTTTTTTCCTTCTCTTCCTAGAGGAAGAGCGAAAGCACAGGGCCAAGGAATCATCATTCTCCTACTACCGGCAGATTGAGTGTCAATGGTCTGCAATGAACAACCAGGAGATACACCAAAACCTCTCCCCCGAAAGGAATTATTTGGTGAGTCAGTAGCTAATCCATAAACCTCAATTGCTCTGTCATTTTCCCCCACTAAAGTCCTTGACACATCATCTGGAAATGTTCCCCAAATTCATGGAAAACCCTTATGTGAATGTGCCTTTTGGCATGTGCATTCTTCCTGTTCAAAGGCTTTTGTGACATGTAACACTCCTGACATTGTTGTAGTTGCATTCAAAATGCTGTTCTTAACATTTGAGGAGCAAATGGAAAACAGTACATTTAATACATGGAAAGGTGGAAGTCAGCAGTCATCAATATTCACCAATCAGCTAATGGATGACTGAAGCTACCATTTGGTGGCTCATTTGGGTTTAAATGACATTTTTCATAATGTGGCATGTTTGTTTTTGTTACATATTATTGGCCAAAAGGTGGTTGTTGGGTGTCTGCATCTAGTGCATAGTCTGATGCAAATGATTTTTGTTGCTGTTTACATGGTTGGCTGTCAAGATCATGGCAGAAATGTTGGTGCAATGCAACCCTGGCTCAGTGCTGCTTATACATTTGCACACCTCACCTTGCCAAATAGTCCCCATGTACAGCTACAGCTACAGACTTCTCCCTCCTGTGCACCCAATTGCTGTACAGGGGATCAAGAAACTCTTTCTTCCCCTGTAAAAAAAAATATGACATAATGGGGGAAGGGAGTGTTTTAATATAAGTCCTTTCAAGCAGGAATCATTCCAGTAATCAGTAATTTTTTTCTCCCCCTGACTGCCTTACAGATCTTATTCTGCCAAACTCTAGAACAAAAATCTTCATACCTCTTGTTTCAGTTTGCCTGAACCCACTCCTCTGACCTTCCAATCTCACTTGCCATCCAGATCTTGATAAAATTAGTGCCATGTCTCATGTCTCGCTGAAGGCAGTGGTGTGAATTCTACATCTGTTCACTATCACTGAACTTTCCAGTCATAACACTTACATATCTTAAATTAGAAATGAATCCTTCGTGAAACCAGAAATTCAAAGGTGCTACTCTTATAGCTGTACATGTCATGGTCCAATGGCTAGGGGGGATTCGAAGAAAGGTTTCTTGACACCCTGTATATGTTGACAGAGTATTGTCCAACTTGGCTCTTCAGCTATTGTCCAACAACCTCTGTCCAAATAGGAAACCTTTTAGTGCAAGTAAAAGGCAAAGTTCATATGGTGCCATATCTAGTGATTATGGAAGATGTGGCCAAATGGAATATCCCAAGGTGGCAATGGTACTGATGGAAGCATGACTCATGCAGAGTTTTACACCATCCTCGCAGGAAACAATATGGCAGTCTTCGTCATTAAAGTGCACAATGGAGGCCAGTTTTGCTGGATGGTGATGAAGTATGTGCTGTTGATGGACTCTCCATGTGGCACATGGTCAGAGAATTACACCATGTCAATCCCAGAATGTAGATGCCTTGACTTTTCCTGTTCATAGGTGGATGTGAAACTTCTTTGGTGGTGGATCCCTTTGAGTTTCCATCATCTGCTTTGCTGCTTCAATTCAGAATCAAGGAACTGTACCCACATTTTATCCATTTTGATGATCTGGTCAGGGAATACCATCATCAGCAAAATGGTTTAGAATGTTTTTGGGCAATGTTGTGCTGTTGTTGTTTGTGTGCATCCATCAAATATCATGGGACTTACATTTCTGCCACCTAACTGTAACTCAGTTCATCGTATAGGATGCTGATCATCTGCTTACAAGCAATGCCAACCTGTATCTCCAGTTGATTGTTATGCAGCAGTTATTTATTCTGCACCATGACCACTTTGCTAATACTGTCTGGCATTGTGGACATGTGCAGCCTGTCTCTATCCTTCACATCTTCTTACCCTTTATGCTTGGACGCAATCCAACTGTTCACTGAATTTTTTTTCTAGGAAGGCAAACTCTTCATGTGTTGTACGTAGTGTCCCAGTGTTGACTCTTCACATCATCCTTAATAGGAATTCTAAAATTGCATGCTGCTTTTCTTTCTTGTCCATTATCAGAATCTGCCAACTCTGCTCTTCAGCAACATCTGTGATATTGGGTTCTAGGCAACTGAGTTCATTTCTCCTTCTAAAGGTAATCCTTTCTCCTGTATGCTGTAGAGTGCATGTAGCTACCTGTCTCACAGCATCTTGTCAGGCTTTTCATGTGCGAATGTTTCTTCCATGATTTTTTCTCCTCCATTTGAATGATTTGCGGATGCAGATGTTTGTTACATCAAGAGAGGGTCATGTATCTCCATGTAACAAGAATGTATGATTCATTATCCTCTAATAAAAGAATAGGCCTGCTTGTCAGGTACAATATAGAATGCACTTTGGCTTTGAAAGTGACAAATGGGGCTAGTAAGCAGTTATGTTTGTAGTTAATTTCACTTCCATGCCAGTGGGGGAGGAGTTGAAAACTGACCAAATCAGGTGTTCATGTCTAAATACAAACACCAGTGTGATTGGGAAAGGAGTCCCTGAAATGTGAATTGAACCCAGGTGGCATATCCTTAGAATAATGCAGACCAAATTAGATATTCTAATATTAAAGGTTGCTTCTGTTTGATAATGCCAAATGAGTGAGGGTTAGCTGGTGTTATGGTGCATGCATGGGCCTCTCACGACTGGCACCCCATGTGTGTATCATGATATATCTGTTCCAGACATAAGGAACTAAAAATGCTTCGAAAAAGTTTCAGTCATCCATTTCTCAATGATTTCATCTGATGTATATGTACTTATCTCCACACATTCTCTTCAAAGATATCCTCTGTCTGTTCTCATATTGAGAAAGTGATGCCATAAAGCACTTGATGTTGGTGATCCCATTGATTTCACCAATTCCATGGCTTCATGTTGAACAGTTAGGGGAAATGTTATTGACACTTTTTACTTCTACTTTTTTGGGGGAAAATATTTTTTAAGTATTTGTTTTTCATAACTCAGAACTTCCTTCATGGAGTGAAGCATGCAAGAAAAATAACTTGCAGGTGTCATGAGAGAAGAGTGAGTTGATGGTGAAAACTGCATTCTCAAAGAGGCCTCATCTGCCTATTTCCCATTTGCAACTTCACGTGGAATGTTCATTTTCATTTCAATAGCCAAGCTCTTCCTGTTCTTTCAGGAGGTGCTATTGCACTGCCAGTGGCATATTGAAGTGAGGGGTATATGACCACAAACCAGTGAGAAAAATGAGCATTTTGAAAATCATTATAGACACTTGCATGAGCACTGACAGAGTTCCATATGACATGCTTTTCTTTATGAGATTTGATTGCAAATTCTTCATGAAGATTGTGGTAAGTTACAAGGTATGTTGCAAAAGTTCCAGGACTGATTTAAAAAAAAATTGGAAGCTATTCATGTAATTTCTCTTATGTATGTGTGAAATAGACTCAATTCCCAACATCCATGCAAGTTCTGACGCATTCATTCCTGTCACGGCACATGCAGCACGCTTCCTTGTTGATGTTGATGTTGATGGAAAGTGGTTCCCTTTGCATGACAATGCATGCACACACAGCACCATCTATCCAACAGTTTTTGCCTGAAAAACAAGTCACTGTCTTGCCTCATGCACCGTATTCACCTGACTTTTTTCTGTTCCCACGGCTCAAAAGAGCTCTGAAAGGCCATCACTATGCAGACATTCCACACATTCAAGTGGCTGTGACAGAGTTGATGAACAATATTCCCAAAAATGACTTCCAAAGTTGCTTCAACCACCTTCAGCGACCCTGGCAACAGTGTATTGATGCAGAGGGAGATTACTTTAAAGGGGAAAAGTGCCATTAGTTTGTAAGTACCCTCCATTATTTTTTATAACATCAGTCCTGGAACTTTTGTGACATAGCTTGTACTTTTAGGATTTCTGAATGTGTAGTCGTTACTTTTGCTGTTATTTCCTTGCTATACTCTCATTGAAATTGGGTCAAGTTTCATTTGCCTGACCAAAATCAGATGGGGCCCTAAGGCCTGAACTTGGCTGCATCTGAAAGCTTTTAAAGTTCATGTAGATGTAGATTTCATGTAGACCCAGACGTGATTGTAATGTACGTATATTGAAGTCCGAAAAATGTCTCAAGTGAAAAGCACTAGCTTGTAATTCTTGTTGATGGTGCATCAAGGGTAGCTTAATTTTGATGCCATCTGTTTTATTGACTTCCCCAATGTACAGGGTGTTTCAAAAGTCTGGACTCATTGGCAGATTTCCTAATTTACTTTTATGTAATTAAATTTTGAATTTGCATGCCATGAACTTGCATACACAGATCAATCCTGGTGCATAACCCCCTCTGAATATTTCTTAGTACTTCTGTACTAATTTTGGTGCACTCATTCATTGAAAAATTTAATTAATTCTAAATACCCACGAATACGGACTTTTGAAACACCCTGCATTTCCTCATTTCTTAGCCTTGATGTTCTGTGGGAAAAAAAAAGAAAAACTCTCAACTGTAAATAGGTTTGTCTGTAACCAAATTCGTTTCAAATTACGTTAGGTTCTGATTTGAGCTAATGTCACTCCTGACCTGATGGTCATAATGGCATACGTGAGGACAGCATTTGCATATAATGTGAAAGCAAATTAGATTCAAAACTCGCTTCCCTGACCTCTCTGTTCCATGAATGAGCAATTTCAGAAGCTGCAACACATTCAAGTTAAAATGCATACCTGTGAATTTTTAATTGGTTTTATCTATGTAAGTGTGAGTAATAATATCGTCATGCAAAGTAACTGGTGTTTTAGTACAGTTATAAGGAATTGTTACCTTGTGGAAAAGTTGTTGCAGTTTTTAAGATTTTTTACTAGTTATACTGAAAAAGAACTTCTTATGCATTACTACCTCTAAAGCCATTCTGGTGACAGTATTTGAACTTCTACCATTTACATAGCATATCAGCTGGTGCCAGAGTCAATGCAATAATAGAATTCATTCAGTAGCACTTTCATAGAAACTTTTATAACTTGATTTTTGAGAAGGTGGAGATAATGAATAATCTGGGTAACCCAACAAAACTGCCAATTGCAATTTTCTGCAAAACTGCTAAGAAATGAAATAAAATAAAAGAACTGGCTATTTATTGACAATTACAATTGACTGGATGATTGCATGGCATGTTATCTGTCACTGATTTGACATATTTTTGCAGAATTCACCGACTAATTGGCAAAGTATTTCAAACCTGATCCTGTGTCCTATCCAGTGACCATGTTGCTCCATAACTGCATGCACCCTAACCAGGAAGTTGTCCATAACTTGTTGAATCATGTCCATGGGTATTGCCTGGATCTCCTGGATACTGTTGCTTTTCAGTCTCTGCACTGATTGTAGGTTGTTGGCATAGACCTTGGACTTCTAATAGCCCTAAAGCAGAAGTCAGGTGGCATTAGGTTAGGTTGTTGGTTCTGTGTGAAAGAAGCTTTTTTCTGGGAAACCATTGTCGCAATGCAGCCAGTGAGAAGTTTGCAGTGTGTGGTGTTGCTCTATCTTGCTGGAAATGCACAGTATTCTTTTTTACTCCTGGCGTCTGTCAAAGATCTGGGATAAACTTGTCACGTTTCATGTCAGTATAATGTTGACTGTTGAATGTTACAACTTCACTGTTTGGGCCCTTGGAAAAATTGGGGCCAACAATGCCTGCGCCCCCTACAACACACCAATTGGTTATTTTGTTAGTATTCCTTTTACCAACAGCATATGCATGTGGACTGTCAAATGCTCAAAAGTGCATGTTTTGCTTATTTACATGAACGGATAACAGGAAATGAGCATCATCAGAAAAAATTAGCTGTCCAAGCTTGCGAGGAAATTGCTGATCTTGTAAGACTTCTCTACAGAAGTGCAGTCATTCCAACCCATTCCAACCAATCCCTTTCCTTTAGAGGTTGCAACATCTGCACCTGGTAAGGAAACATCTTTATCTCATGCAGAATTTTTTGTTCTGATGTTTGAGAAAGTCCCGATTGCTGTGAGAGCCTGTGAATAGATTTTTGGGGGAAACAGTTTATTCTCTCTGTGACCAGTCTAATGTTTTCTGGTGAGCTTGTTGCTTTTTTGCAGGCACCATTGCCACTATTGTGGTTCAGCAATGTCCCTTCATCTTGGAATTTCTTTACCAAGCATGATACAGTTGAAGCTTCAGGCAGATATCCTGAAAACTCAGCCTCGAACATTTCGCAGACTACTGAGTACTTTCCTTCTTTTGACTAAATTGGTACATCTCTACAACTTGTACACGCTGTTTAACTATCAGCTGATGGGACCTTTCTTGTGCCATTGTTGAGTTAGGGTGCCTTTATTTAACTGCAATACATGCTAGAATCTTGTAAGAGAGAAAAGAATAAGTATTAGCAAAATGGATGCTGTGGTAATTCATGTACTTCCAAATTGGCTGTTTTTGTCGGTCACCCTATATGATGACCAATGAAAATGACTTTGATTTTTTGTACTTTTATTTATTCATATAATCCCATTGTTTACTTTAAAAAATTCCCCTCAGGTTATTGAGGGATATGGACTGTACAGGGTGTACAAACAGAAAGACATTGGGCAAGGCACCACTCAGTTTCTGCAGCTTTGACGAGCTCTGGTAATTGGGGAAGTATGATGAAAAGCATACATCCATCCACATTGGAAGATGGATCATCCTCATCTGGGGGATGGAAGAAGACCTCTTAGAAGATACATCCTGTTTGAAGACATCATCTAATGAAGCGGAACCCTTTTGGACGGTTTCATCCTTTGGTAAAAAGTGCCACATGTCCTCCTACATCACATGTATTAGGAAGTTCCTGAGGCTTGCTAGGTTGCTTTCCTCTGTACAGGGTTCACACTGACTTTTTAAAATCTTGAGTCCTGGTGCCTAGGTTCAGCTCAGGGAGAACAGGTTCAGGTGGGTTGTCAATGAGTCCCACGGACTTAGGTGTTTTGCAAATATGAGTCAGGGACTCGCTATAGCAAGTTAATGTGAACCCTGCTGTAGCTCAATCAAACGTCTGAGTAGGGGAAGTCACCATACAATCATTGAGCATAGAACATAGGCTAATTTTTTACATCATATTGACTGTAGTTTGTCCTTGTTATGTATGTGTGTGGGTCCATGGCTTCATAAGACCTGGTAAATAGGATTGTTTAGTTGCTACTGTTTTTGTTGAGCTTCTCTTCCTTACAATATGTGAAACAAGGAAAGGTTTCCCAAGTACAATATGTAGAGGAGGAAGTGAGTTTCATTTGCAACTTGTATATGAAAATGAAAGTTTTGTATGAGATTAGTAACTGGAATACTGCATGGATCTCATAGGATGACCATGTTGAAATTAATAATAATTTAGGGTTAGTATCATCTCTTCGAATATTGAAATTCCCTGTTCTGGAGCAACAAAACTTCCATGCTGCAGTTGCTAAGTAGCCTTCCACTGTACACCATTAAGACTTCATTTTACGGGTTGTGAGTCAAAATTTAATAAGCTATTACTATTCTTCCCAAGCTGTTATCTACCATTTGCTGAAAAATTTTTTTTTTTTTACATGTTTTTCACTTTCCCAATTATTTAAGCCAAGGTTTTTTGCTCAGGTTTTTCAGGTAGATGAGGAGTATGCATGGAGAAAGATATTGGATGGTTTGAGAATTCATGACTGCATCTTTTGCCCATTTTCCCATGGTAAGATGCCACTTAGTGCACCAACAGCCCTGCTAGAGTATTCATATGCCTGTTAATAGGGTTGTGAGTGTGTGCACATCCTGATCATCACTCATCTCCTATGTTCAGAGTGTGTATTTTCCTGTATGTTTTCCTTTTAAAAAATTTAAGCTGCTCTTGCGCTCAAAATGAAATAGGCCCATTATAGAGCCATTTTTTACTTTGTCTTTTTTTCAGTATTGTTACTCTGCTTGTTTTAACAGCGAATATGCATTGACTCAAACTATCAATGAAGCATTGATGCATTAGGAGTGATGAAGTTATTTCACATCTTGATTGAGCTGAGGTTTTGCATCTGTCATTCCTTACCTCGACATGGGCACAGACCCGTCTTCTGCCTTCTCTCATCCATGATCTGGGAGTAGGGGAGAGGGGAATGTGGCCATCGTAATGCAACAGACCCACTAATTTATTGTTGTTGAGAATCTTTCACCATTGCACATTCTTTTATTTTATTATTTAGGCATGCTTCTCTTTGGGCATCGACATCAGCAGTTTGCCAACCTACCAATGACCAATGGCACTGATGGTGCCATAGTAGCACCCTATACTGTTGGTTGCCAATGCATTGGTATGGCCCTAATAATAATGCATAATGGTATTTACAGTACAAACTGTTTTAGAATGATTCAAGTTACTTTATCTCACCTTGACCCATTAAAAACCAATGCAGGAAGTTTTCATGATGCCCTACAGTTGCTTAGACTGTTATAGGGTCAGATGCTAAAAATGTACCCTCAGCATAGAGCTTTGTATTATTGGAGGAGCAGTAACCCTATCAAAGTGGTATCACAGCAGCTGAGGTTGACTGGGGTGTGCCCCTCATAATGTCCCATCTATGGACAAAGTGAATCTCATCCAACTAACTGAAGCTCTGAAATCAATATCTCTGTAGTAAGATTTCTCAAAGATATTGTGATGCTGGGGCATTGCCTCCCCCTGATATCCATGTTCCAGTCTCTGATGCCTGGAATGCTTCGATCTGCAAGCACAAGGCAATCTGAAGATGAGAATCTTCAGGATCCAGAGGCTCCCTTCTATGTCTTTCATCTCCTATGAAGAATGACGTCTCAGAAAAGTGGCCCTTGCTGAAGGATGCTACCTTGAGTGAGATTAGGTCTCCTCAATGAAAATCAATCCTTTGCCAAACTCAACTATTTGTTTTTTTTTTTCCTTCTCCCAAAGCGAGAGAGAGAGAGAGAGAGAATATTGGACAAGGATTAAGAATGCCTTACTGCCAGGAGCAACCAGATGCCTCCAAAAACCTCTCCTGAAGGCAGTGCTTTGGTGAGTAATTCCCTGAAATCAATCCTCAGGCTTCAAATGCTTTATAAATTTCATGCTGAAATCCCAATACCTCATGCAAAAACAGGAGACAAATCCCATCCATTCTTAGTTATTCCCTTTACCCCATTTAAGAATGCATGATGGGAATATTCCTCCCTATTTGGAATCCTCACTGGACATATGACAACAGACTCTTGCAGTCACTTTCAAAGCATTCATGTTTACACTATATAATTAAATCAAAACCAATACATTTTATGCATGGAAAGGGGCAAGTCACCATTCACCAGTCATCATCTACTAGCCAAAGTGTGAATAAAGTTCATGTTTCAACTTGCATCTTCCTGGTTAACATTTAAATCTCTGATGACTTGCTTGTTTTTACTCTAGGTTGCAGGCTACAAAGCAATTAGTAGAACACAAGTTGTTAATTGCTGCATGGCAAAGCTGATGTCAAACTGGTTTTGAATGATAATATTGACTGGTGTGCTAGATGTAAAATTCCCCATTAGGAAACGGTAAGTTTGGGCTGTGTGTATTGTGAGTATCAGACCTTCAGTTTTACATAAAAGAATATCCATAAAATTTTCCAAATTTTATGTTCAGCAATGTCACATCATGAAATTTAGTAATTTTTCTATTTGGTTTAACAATTGTTTGTGATTTTCCATTGACAGCAGCATCTGGGGTTCTGAGGAGTTTTTTCATATTTTAACCAAGTATATATTTGTGTGTTCATCTGTCCTCTGATTAACACAGAAGCTGTGTTTTAACACAGATTAAGTTTTCAGCCCCTTGGGACATTTATGAACTGAGGGGTTTCCCCCTCATTCAGGAAGCACTCCTAATATTACTTAATTTTTGAAAAAAATTGTGATTCATAAGGATACAGATGAACCTTTAGCAGTTATTTCCTCATCAGTTCTACACAATGATGTATGTCCAATAGAATTGGATGACTATGGTGCAGAATTCCATTGATGTCTCTCATCTTTGCCAAATATTTTTTACTTTCTAAAATGAATGGAGTGTGTTAACATGGAAATCACAAGAAGCAGAGAGGGAAACGCATTTGCTCTCGTATAAACAGTTCCATGTACTTCCAAGTGAAGGATGACTAAGATGTGATTGAACATAAAAAAATTATAATTATCATATGAATAATACTTGGATGAATGGATTCATCCCTATTCATTTGAAAAATGGTCAGTTTTAAGAGCAATGTGTTTTGTGTCTACAGGCCATGAGTGATATTCAAAAATGACATTTTATGTGTATAGCAAAGTATGCAAGTTCTCATTGAATACTGTGGAATACCTCGTGATGACAACTTGACTTTTTCTCACATGGTTGTTCAGTACCTTCTTGCTTTCATTTTATCTGAAATTTATTTATATTTTTTATATTGTATCTGGTATCATGGGCTGAAATTAACCCCAGCAATAAAAATCTCAATAAAATTTGGTTTTTTGAGATGACAAGTAATTTCTCATGGCAGTTTCATGGGTAACATCACTGCAGTGAAGCAGCAGGTGGTAGCATATTTCTAAGACCAACCCTGACATGTTGATGATCAGCAATTATTAGTTGCAATAGGAGCACCTTGTGCAAAAGTACCTGAAGCTACACATGAAAATGCAACAAGAAGGCATCCCCCTAACACAGGCACGGTATACCTTGTGCACCTGTTGCATTTGACTTTCCCCTATCCATTTTCGACTTAGAAACCTATGAAGGAATTTTTGTTTTCAGACAACAAAAATTGTGCATGCACTCTTTATCACAGTCAAATATCGATATATAATTTGAAATGAATTTTTTTTCAAGAATCATTTCAGCTGATGGTGACACTGCCATAAGATTGTGGATGAGTCTTTCAACTGAGCCTGACAGAAGTGCAACCAAAGCGAGGAAGGAAGGGAGGATGAAATTGACAAGAACAGGGGCACTGTGGGACAGATGCTCTGTCTCTGAACATGTGCACTGACAGACAATGGAACCTGAAGCTAATCATGTAAGTGTTTCAGTTTGCTTTCTATGCAGTACAAGAAGAGATTTTGTAGTTTTTTTGTCAAAATAGGTGAGGTCAGGATAGGTTTGACTCGTAATAGTTAATGACACAGTTAAATGACAATTTTCTAACCAACCATTCTTGGAGCTACCCAGAGTCAACCAAGTTTGAAACTGTTGACATCTGCCAGTTTCTTTTTAAAATGTTCAAGGTCACATTATTATTATGCCTTTTGACATTATGCCATGACATTTATGAGGGGAACTCATTGAAAATTTATGAAAGATGTGTCAATAGTTGTGAAGGTAGCATGTAAAGCCATGTTTTGTACAATTAATTTCTCAGATTGCTGTCATTAGCATAATTATGCTTCATAACTTTGTTTTTGGATGGTGCATTGAAAGTGCTTACTTGATTAAGTTGACTGTCTAACATGCTGCTTTCCCTTCTCTGAATAAAATAACAAAGCTCAATGAAATCCGTTTGCATGTTGCCTGGAAATATACAACGATCATGCAGTTTCAACCGGTCATCTCACACCACAGAAATCTCAGTTGTCTCGGGAATCCCCGTTCACTTCGACGGAATGTGCCACGGAACTCCGAGCTCGGCGTGGAGTCAGTTGCAAAATCTTCCAAACATGAAGGAGATCTTGCTCCCGCTATGTGCTGAGCCGCTCTGAAGGATCCACCAGTGGGGGCGATTGGGGGAAGAGCATCCAATCGTTAATGAAACGTCTATGGACATCATCACGCCCTGTTGGATCGTGCCGGAGTTTTCACGCTTGGGCTTGTAAGTCCTGTTTCTTTGTGATGGCAGTGTTTCTTGGGAGATTTGATGGTCAGCCTTTTAACTTGCTGAATTGGTGCGTACTAGTTGTATGCCATGTCACAGAAGAAAATGTAATGCAGCTCAAAAGAGACAAAAGTAACAGTGAACATTTGGTAGAGAATATTGAATTCCTGGTGTCTGTACCAGTGCTGACCCCAATGCACCTGGGAACTGTGCAACCTCAGTTTTTGACATGAATATGAATCAGTTTTCCTAGTCCTACAACTATTGTGGTAGCAAAAAAAAAAAGCAACAAAAAAGCGTTACAAGGTAATCTAGACCTTGCCTGTGTCATAGGAGATGTAATAGCATTATATCTGTCCTTTGATGAATAAATAAGCGTGGCTTTAACATGATTTACGTATGCTTGCTAACCTTTGAGATCTGAGTGCTTGCCAGGACAAGAATATGACTAATTCATGCCTTCATGCCTTATCATTATTTTATGATATGATAGATTTCCATGGGCAAGAAAAGGGCTGATTTCCCTTGTACACGTCATACTGTCCCCTAAAAACAAAAAATATATGCCAAAGCTAACGCACCAACAAAGGGACAGCAATGCAAATGCTCTCAAGAAGGTCCATAGGGGTGTAATGGAAAATGTGTTACACCTTCTTCGAAAAAGCTGGCAAAACACTTCACCTTGAGGAATGTAGCAACTCTCAAAGGCCCCACCAGTTTTGATAAAATGCTAATTAAATTAGTTATAGGACACACCATGGACATGTATATACTAAGTATAACAGGACTGGGTAGTCTAGGTAGATACTGGGGGGAACCTTGAGGCATTTTGATGCCATAATTTTTCAGGTCAAAGTAGGTCTCCACCTAGGCAATTTTTCCGCTGTTTGCGTTTCCAGTCTAAAATGTCGATTTTTTGTTGGTCTTCGACGTATTTGTTCACATGATGACATCGTTCATGATTTCTGAAGGATTGCTGAATTTGACGGAAATTTCCGTAGCCGCGGCTATTATTCCCCAGCTTCCGAAGGCAGTCTGAAATGTCGATTTTCTGTTGCTGTTCGACGTATCTGTTCGCATGATGGCTGAGTTTGCGAAATCTCTTGGAATACTTACTTTGCCGGCAATTTCCGTAGCGTTACTGGATCTTTCCAGTGCTTGCGATGGCAGTCTGCAATGTCGACTTTCTGTTGCCGTTCGACGCATTGGTTCATATGATAGCAGAGTTCTTGATTTCTGTAGGATTGCTGAATTTGACGGAAATTTCTGAATCCTTCGTCGTTTTTTCCGGTGCTCGCGATGGCAGATGATGGGAAATTTCCGAAGCCTCACTCGATTTTTCCGGTGCTTGCAATGGCAGTCTCAAAAGTCGATTTTCTTTTACGGTCCGACATATCTGTTACCATGATGGCTGAGTTTAGGATATCTCTGGGAATTCTGACTTTTCCTTTTATTTCCGAAGCCTCAGTCGAATTGTCCGCTTTTTGTGTTTCTTGTCTGAAATGTCGATTTTCTGTTGCTGATCGACGTATCTGTTCACATGATGACAGCGTTCATGATTTCTGAAGGATTGCTGAATTTTACGGAAATTTCCGAAGCCACGGCTATTACTCCGAAGCTTCCGAAGGCAGTCTGAAACGTCGATTTTCTGTTGCTGTTCGACATATCTGTTCACAAGATGACAGCGTCTGTTGCTGTTCGACGCATCGGTTCATATAATGGCAGAGTTTACGATATCTCTTGGAATTCTGAGTTTTCCTTTTATTTCCGAAGCCTCAGTCGATTTATCCGATTTTTGCGTTTCTTGTCTGAAATGTCGATTTTCTGTTGCTGTTCGACGCATCTGTTCACATGATGGCTGAGTTTACGATATCTCCTTGAATTCTTACTTTGCCGGAAATTTCCGGAGCCTCAGTCGGTTTTCCTGCAGCTTGCGATGGCAGCCTCAAAAGTCGATTTTCTGTTGCTGTTCGACGCATCTCTTCACATCATGGCTGAGTTTACGAAATCTCTTGGAATTCTGAGTTTTCCTTTTATTTCCGAAGCCTCAGTCGATTTATCCGATTTTTGCGTTTCTTGTCTGAAATGTCGATTTTCTGTTGCTGTTCGACATATCTCTTCACATGATGACAGCGTTCTTGATTTCTGATGGATTGCTGAATTTGACCAAAACTTCCGAAGCCTTCGTCGATTTTTCCGGTGCACGCGATGGCAGTCTGAAACGTCGATTTTCTGTTGCTGTTCGACATATCTGTTCACATGATGGCTGAGTTTACGAAATCTCTTGGAATTCTTACTTTGCCGGAAATTTCCGGAGCCTCAGTCGTTTTTCCTGCAGCTTGCGATCTCAGCCTCAAAAGTCGATTTTCTGTTGCTGTTCGACATATCTGTTCACAAGATGACAGCGTTCATGATTTCTGAAGGATTGCTGAATTTTACGGAAATTTCCGAAGCCTCAGTCGATTTGTCCGCTTTTTGCGTTTCTCGTCTGAAATGTCAATTTTCTGTTGCAATTCGACGCATCAATTCACATGATGGCTGAGTTTACGAAATCTGTTGGAATTCTTACTTTGCCGGAAATTCCCGGAGCCTCAGTCGTTCTTCCTGCGGCTTGCGATGGCAGCCTCAAAAGTCGATTTTCTGTTACTGTTCGACGCATCTATTCATATGATGACAGCGTTCTTGATTTCTGAAGGATTGCTGAATTTAACGGAAGTTTCCGAAGCCTTCGTCGATTTTTCCGGCGCTTGCGACGGCAGTATGAAACGTCGATTTTCTGTTGCTGTTCGACGTATCTGTTCACATGATGGCTGAGTTTACGATATCTCTGGGAATTCTGACTTTTCCTTTTATTTCCGAAGCCTCAGTCGATTTGTCCGCTGTTTGCGTTTCTTGTCTGAAATTTCGATTTTCTGATGCTATTCGACGTATCTATTCACAAGATGACATCGTTCTTGATTTCTGAAGGATTGTTGAATTTTGCGGAAATTTCCGGAGCCTCAGTCGTTTTTCCTGCAGCTTGCGATGGCAGTCTCAAAAGTCGATTTTCCGTTGCTGTTCGACGTATCTGTCCACATGATCGTAGAATTTACGATATCTCTTGGAATACTTACTTTGCCGGAAATTTCCGAAGCCCTAGTCGATTTTTCCGGTGCTTGCGATGGCAGTCCGAAATGTCGATTTTCTGTTGCAGATCGACGTGTCTGTTCACATGATGGCTGAGTTTACGATATATCATGGAATACCTACATTGCCGGAAATTTCGGAAGCATTACTCGATTTTTCCGGTGTTTCCGATGGCAGTCTGAAATATCGATTTTCTGTTGCAGATCGACGTATCTGTTCACATGATGGCTGATTTTACGATATATCCTGGAATACCTACATTGCCGGAAATTTCGGAAGCATTACTCGATTTTTCCGGTGCTTGCGATGGCAGTCTGAAACGTCGATTTCTGTTCGCATGATGACAGCTTTCATGATTTCTGAGGGATTGCTGAATTTCACGGAAATTTCCGGAGCCTCATTCGTTTTTCCTGCAGCTTGCGCTTGCAGTTATCCATGTCGATTTTCTGTTGCTGTTCGATGTATCTGTTGATATGACAGCTTTCTGGATTTTTGAAGGATTGCTGAATTTGATAACCGTTAAATTTAGCAATCCTTCCGGTTCCCCGTCCATGTTTCCTCGGTTTGCGTGAGAGAGCAACTTTGTTTGTTTTGAGGCTTTTTTCTGATCGTATTCATTTATCGCAAATTTTTAAACCGTTGGTTGAAAAACGCGTACAAGAGTTCCCGAACATGTTAATTAGCCATCACGTGTCTTCAGGTGTGTGCCGCTATGGACACGGTTCATGCACGTGATGCCTCCGTCGCGGGTTTCGCAGATGTCGCATTTCTGGTTTTGTTGCGAAATTTTCTTGGTTTGGCTTATGATGTGCGTGCTGAATGGAAAGGTAATGTTCGTCGCCGTCTGCAGGTGGCGTTCTCAATTTCTGAGTTTTTTAGGAGAGAAGTATAGTATTGATGTGGTAGAATGGAAGATGAAAGGGCAGAAGGAAAATAGGTGAAGAGAAAGATGAGAATGGGAGGAATGCTAGATAATGAAGATGGGAGGTGCATTAAAGAGGTTCAAGACGGCAAAGCTGTTGTTTTCGAATTTGATGAATGAAAGGATCTGTGAGAGGCTGGGAAAATCCTTCTTCTGTCACATGGCCGTCTTTTTAATGATATTGCAACGGCTGAAGCTGCTGTGAAGAAACACCATGTATTTCTAATATTCATCTAATATTCTAATTGTTTGTCTAATATTTTCTCATGATGTCTGATAATGTTCCATCATTGTTCCATCATTCGTAAATTTGAAAGTTATTCTTAACGAAACCGTAAAACGGTTCCGTTCTATCGGTTCTCTAATAATCGCTACTATATATACGTATATATTCGTAAATATACCCATTCTGAGAAAAACCTTTAAAAAAAATTTTGAATCGTCTATTGTGAGCATAACGTCTTCTTGACAATCCTCTGTTTATTGCATTACCCATTCAGAACTGAACCGCTTCATTACATTTATACACATATAGCTTACAGTACACAGGGAGATTCTGTTCCTAAACACCATCATCATGATATTCGAGCTGATCGCCACAATCGCCATTGTGAACGCCTCGGTTTAGCACGNGCGTTCTTGATTTCTGATGGATTGCTGAATTTGACCAAAACTTCCGAAGCCTTCGTCGATTTTTCCGGTGCTTGCGATGGTAGTCTGAACTATCGATTTTCTGTTGCTGTTCGACGCATCGGTTCATATAATGGCAGAGTTTACGATATCTCTTGGAATTCTGAGTTTTCCTTTTATTTCCGAAGCCTCAGTCGATTTGTCCGCTTTTTGCGTTTCTCGTC